ATGCCACACTGTTATGCAAACAGGCTCTGGCATCTGTGGTATGATATCGTCCTCAAAGGCAGACAAGCAGCTTTAAGAAAAAACTCCTAACATGCACACATTATTTTCCTCTACTCTGTCTGGTTCACTGCTCGCATGATCCTATAATTGCAATGCTTTGGAATAAACAAAAACAAGCCATAAGGGATTTCAAAAGTCAAACTTCACTCTACTTAATTCACATCCTCGCTTAAAAATCAGGAACAATGCTGACCTCAGCTGGAGCGAGGGAGTTACTGCTCTTGTTTACTCTTCATGAAAAGCAGTGGGCATCAGAGAAGACTGAATAATGTAGCAATTCTCCCACAAACAGAAGTCTAACAGAGCGTAGATTCAAAGAGAGAGATACGCAGCAGCACAGAAAGGGGGAGGATGAGACAGGTGTTAGAACTCATTCAGAGGTAGACCGCAAATACTATTCAACTTGTAGGTAGATCATTTCATAACAGCTACAAAGAAGTAAGACAAACAAATGGTCAAAAGCAAGTGAGACAGATGAGCAAGAGATAGACTGAAGCATTCCACGCATAATTAATTCAGAGAGTGAAGTCACTGTGTGGCTGCCTGAGTTGGACATGTAAGATCCTTACAATAACACTCCCACACTCATAGACCCATGACACATCCAAATTCAAAAATGTATACACGCATGAAAGAGGAACCCTGTTTGTCCTCTTTTCATTTTAAGAGTGAAGAGACTCTAGATAAAAAAAAGAGGAGAGAAACAAATTAGTTGAGCAAGGAGGGGAGGGGGAGACAGTGGTGCGAGTGGGAAGGGGGGATGGGAGAGGAAAGGCATGGCTAACGGAGACACAAAGAAGAGAGGGAGCAAAGATCGGATGAGAGGTGATGAGACCAGATGAGGTGGTGACAGATGATAGCAGAGGAGGAGAGAAATGGAGTGTGAGATGGACAGAGAGAGAAGGATCCAGAAGGAGTGAGTGGGAGGAGGGTAGGTGAGATGGAGGAAGGAGAGGCAGAAGAAATAATAAGTGTAGTGAAGTGCGGCGGAGAGTGGAGAGGAGTGGAGGGAGAGAGGAACGGGCAGATGAGACACGGGAGGAAGAGAGATGCTGTGACCTCACATGCTTGGCGGCAATGATGTCTTGAAGATCATCTCAAGGTTGTTAGATAAGAGAGAAGCCATACATGCCAGAGGAGAGAGGGAGAGGACTCACAGGTGAAAGAGATGAGAGTGAGAGGACCAATAGTCAGCGGGAGGGACCTGGGGGGAGTAACGCGTAACCGGAGATATTACGAAGCAAAAGCGTAAAGAAATGGACAGAATGATGACAGTGTGAGTGAGAAACAGAATGATGAGAACCACAGAGGCAAAGATTCAGTGACTCAAGTTTCCATGAGGCATGCATTAGCATGAGTGTGCCGCCTGCCTGAACACGTGTGTGAATACGTGTATTTGCGAGGGGACGCAGGCATGCATGAACTTGTGCAGTGTCTCTACATCAGTGTTTTGAGATATGCAAAAATCTCCAAATTTTCCAAGCATGAGTGTGTATATATATTTTGGCAGGAGTGATTAAGTGCTGCAAGCCAGCAAACCAATAAACAACCAGGCCGTGTTCCATTCCTTAATGAGCTATCCTTATCGGTTGCCCCGCGCTCCTCTCCTCCTTCCATGCATCCTTTATTTACTCTCCATTACATTATCTCCTTCACCCTCCCTCCTGCATATGTCCTATTATCATTCAAGTAGTATCATATTCTTTTACTCTTCCTTTGTATATTTCCTACCTCAGCTTCTTTTTATCTTTATCTTCCATCTCTGTCCTTTTTAACTCATTACCCTCGAATAGAAAAGCAGATGGGAATAACACTGTCACGGTCCTGTAGACGGTGGGTCATGACACAAGTAACGATCATTTGCTTCAATCAAAAGCTTATGCAGTGTCTTGCATAGTTAACTGGAGTCAGACAGCATTTGGTCATATTTTAAATTGCGACAGCATATGAGAATATTTCATAGCTGTTACAACACAAATCAGTGCTGCCTATAGAGCTGGTACAGCCAATCTTTCGGGGTACCACTACGGTTGAGCTAGAACTCCTTTTAGAATGCACAGTCATGAAAATTTGTGCAGACGACCCCGTTTCTCAGAGGGAGGTTAATAAGGCACTCCTTTGTCATGGACCTAATTTGTGCAAAAGTGAAATAATATTTCCTACTTCAGTTATCTTAATACATCTTTTCTCAAAAAAGATATTTTAAAGAAAGGATTAAAAAAACTAAAGTTTTCAAGTTAGACCATAGTTCCATTGTATTTTGGTTATATCGTTATCGGTTAAAAGACCACAATATGATATCCAGGATGTTTGTATTACTTTGTTTTTGTTTTTTGTTTTTTTTCTTATGTAATGAATTGTTAGGAAATTTAATCTGTCATTTCTGAGTCCATTTTCAATCCTTTTTTCAAAAACTAAACATAGGTGAATTAAAATGTATTGTCTGTGTCTACACCGACCAGCTTCGTTGTATTTAGAAGCTCAAAAGAAAATAAAGAATTTGCGACCAGAACCAGACATAAAAGTTGTGAATGAACTAAAGAAGGACAGGTTTATAGAATATATGTAATGCCATTTGTAGAATTGAAAGATGTGTTAGAGATGAGACAAGTAATCCGAGCAATGTGCAAAATCAGCATCTTTAATGCAATTTTTGGTGCAACAGTCACCACTGATGCAGCAGCATATTTCCACATTTTTGAGAAATACATAGTATTTCTTAGAGATCAGGGCCAAATTTCACTCAGCACAATACATAACAGTGTGATTTACCATCTGCTGAAATTGCCTTCTTATTCACTATGTAGTCCCCTACAGCGAGGCGGCCATTTCGTAGTCCATCTATCCCTTTTCTTTATCAATTAAATTCAGTTTTGGGTCAGAGGAAGAGGAACCTGTCCTGGCAGCCATTTTGCAAAATGCGGGGCACATCCTGAACAGCTTGCTAGTCCATAATGAAAATCAAACCATTTACATTCAAAGATTGTTCTAGGATTACATTCTAAGATTTGTTTGGAAGCATCAATTAACCTAAAAAGCACAGACAGGGAGAAAGCAAGAGCACATTCGCTCAGGGAGAGCATGCAAACTCCACACAGATTCCGACAGGAACTCTCTTCCTGCAAGGAGACAGTGCTGACATTTCAAAGTGCTGTTCGAATTTCAGCTTTTATTTACTAAGTGATGCAAACTCATTACTGGGTGCAATAAAGTATTGTACAAAAGCTGTAAATAGAAATAGACCTTCATGCAGTGCACCCTGGAGCTGTGGGTTGACAAAGCATGCCAGTACAACTTCTGCTATCTGGTGTTCAAATATGCAGCTTGTTGCTGTAATTTTCTGACCAATTAAAAATTACTGCTTGATATGTAATACCCCTCAGACTTCTCAACCATGAAAAAGTTAAAGGTCTGATATGTATTCACAGCTGTCTGCTTTTATCCAGTAGTGCGTCTCCCTTATAGAGAACATTATATAGCAAGTTAGTGAACACGTGAATAATTTCAATGCAGCCGTGGAGTTTGTGTTTGACTGACTTCACTGCCGTTCAGATCCTGACACAGATTGAGCATCTTAAATTATGTAATCAGCAAGGAAACGTTCCTCTTGCAAAACTCTTGGTATCTGTAGCTTAAAAAACATTAGAAAAAAAAATGTAATCATAAAGAAAGGTGACATAGCACAAAACTAAAAAATGTATGATAGTCTAGATTCAGTTACATTTTCATTGTGCAATGAAGTTCATCAGCGAGAACTGTTAAATTCACATTTGAAATATTTTTTTAATACTGGTTCAACTAAGATCAGGGGTAACCATAATTGAAAGAGAATAATCTAATGGGCAAATGAAATTAGGTCCCCACGAGAACATATGATGAATTTTTTAAAACACTGGTTGAATATAAATCATGATCATCCAGTTGTGACCATCTAACTAAGAGGTTTAGATAAACTGGGGGGGATATGCTTACTTCAAAATACATTTTGACAGATTAACCTATCGTACATGTATCATTTACCATGGGGTTTCCAGTTCTGATGGATTTTCGGCCTTCCGTGTGTACATTGTGATGTGAAGCAAAAGCATCCTTGGTCATGACATCAACTCATGCTTTCAGATGTGTTTTCTTCCATAAATCCAATTAACTGTAGTTAATGGGATTAGAGCATGGACACAATGTTGGAGACATCAATCTGTTCTGGAAGTCAGCCATGGATTTGGTTCTTTCAAATCTTACAAGGGACTCTTTGGCCAGCTGGCAGGGACTGGTGGTCCATAATGATTTACAATGAAGCCTCCTTGTTTTGCTGCTATAGTGGCTTGAATTATTGTACATAAGTATGCTGATCTGATACTAAAGATAATCAGTGAAAGATCGTATTATATTCTGTGCAGACCTCAGGAAAAAAAGGTTTGAAGCTTTCTTTGAGAAACATTTTTATATTCTTCAAGACTCCTACTTTCATATTTATGTGAAAAATGTACAGTTCTACAGTCATCACTAAGTTTGGCTTCATACAAATATTCATAAAGAAAAAATTACATCTCGAATATTACAAAAAAGTTCATAATCTATCAAGTTCATATAAAAAGATAATAAATGGAAGGTCTAACTTCAGAGAAGATAGAGTAGACCTTTTGAGACAGCGCCAGGGTGTAACTACTTGTGATTATGCTACTCATTTTTTCATGCAAATATAATTTTACAACCAATGTTAAAATTCTACATGAAAGAACCAGGTATTAATGTTTTAAACATTACATTTAACAAGACAAACTTTGAGAACTATATCTAAACAACTATTTTAAGCATAGGCAGCAGTAATAGAGGCTTCTAGCCCTTTTAGCTTTATTCTAACATTGTTATGAGTTGTCAAAATTAGGACAAAACAAACGTGCAAAAAGCTCAGAAATTGTAAAATACTGATATTTTTATTTTTCAAAAATGCAGCAGAAATGTTTTATGCTTGTCACAATTCAGCCATCTGCTGAGTTGCTAAACCCATAAGAAAAAAGAATTCTGTCAAACATCCCCTACATGTTATTTTTGAATCATTTTGTAAATTTCTTAGCTTGCCATCCACAGAAGTTTCAGCTTTCATTTTCACATATTCTGTTAACAATCAACTGAAAATCTTTCATGAAGAAGTTACTTAGGATGAGAGGAGATTAAATAGGCCTTACTGCGACAAAGCTGCATGTAGTCACACAGATTAGGCTGGAGGGGGAAAGGGCAGAGATAACGGACAGAAAAGGGGATAGGAAGAGGAGCATAAATGAGGAATGAAGCAATACAAATGTTAGGGCCTTTGGTTGAGTTACTGAACTGTTGACAATTTGAGTTTTCTTAAAGGAATGTATCCAGTTTGCAATTAGAATTTTTGTTTTGTATATATTTTTCAAATGCTTGATATCTATTCCTATTGACACAAAGCAGTAACAACCAAGACCCTGTGACACTCACAGTGAAGTCAGGAGGAAAACCTCCACAATCATTGTATCCACAAGATGGTGGTGGGGCTCTCATCAATAACTTTAACTTCTTTTGAAATGTGAACATAAAAAGCTCCATGTGGTGGATTTGAAGACTTTTAAATTTTTAGCCTTTTGGAGCTAATTAACAAGAAAAGCCAAGGACTTCATTCAGAGTCCAACTCTTTGAACAGATTAGCTGCAAAATCTGGTCACAGAAATTAAATCAAATGTTTCTCTTAATAATTTTGACCACTTTATTCCATAATTCCATATGCAACCTTTAGTTTTAAGGTTGCATCATTGTTTCCTTTTGAGAAGAACAGGGAGTCGGTCAGCATTAGGCAGTTCAATCAGTGGCTCTACCTAAAACACTGGGGCCCCTCATAAAGTGTAAACAATAAAGGTAAGAGGAACATTTTATGAGACATGCTGTAATTTACGACCCCCTGAATCACCACCACATCTGTCTGTCCATTTGTCAGTTTGTCCATCAGAGCGAATGCAGAGACATTATCGGGGTTGTTAAAGGAAGGGTATTCAGAAAAGAGCTCAGGTACAAGGGGTTAAAGGTTCAAAGGGATTGAGGGTTTTGGCTGGTGCTCAATCATCAAACCAATATTGCATTATCTACACAGTACTAGCTCATTGACCCAGGGTCCAAAAATAGACAGGATGGAGTGAAAACCTTTGTTTACCTCAACTACTAAACAAGTATCTAAATGCTCACAAAGTTAGGAATCCTTGAAATGACTGTGCATAGCAAATATAGCCTTTAAATAAAGGTACTGTGTACATATTACAGTGGGTGAGATAAAAAGACAACCAGCCTTGCTTTAGGACATCTATACAATAATATATCATTATTTGAAATGAAAGCAATAATGTGGTTAAATAAGTCATGTTTTAATGCAAGAGCAGGTAAATGCTATAAATCATAATATATCATCTGTATCTTTCCATTCTATATACAAGAGTTGAACACATAGCTGGTTAGAGTGACTCTTCAGTAAGTCTGACAACATTTCAGAGGCCTTATCCTCTTCTGAACCTATCTTCTGTTTCTTGGTTTACTTTCCATGTTGATGTTTTTCATATCACTCTATGGTTCTTAGTTTGTCCTTGCCTCGGTTGTGTTAAATCCCACTCAGGGATATTTTTAATCTCTTCCCCACCATCAGACTAAAACTTTCTTCATCTACTATAGTCTTTTTAATCCTCGTCTTCCTCTCTGTCTGTTTTTACATCCATTGCTTGCTGAAACTTGTTATTAGTTTGATCCTTGGCAGATAGGGCCTTCGATCTTTTTACGGTAAAGAAAATGCTACATTCACATTTCACAGGTTGTTCAAGTTGACATCAGCAGTCTGTGTGTGGTACTTCTTTTTTCAATTCGACATCTCTAATCTGCTCTGCTCACTCAACGCGGCTGCACGGTGCGGCTAACGCGCGGTCAAGTGATCCATAGCTGACCCTTGTTGTCACAGCGCACCTCACCTTGCCCTCAGGTGTACAAAAAGCAGATTTAAAATCCAAAACAGGTTCTGAGACATTGTGATGGACATCTTGGCTCAGGTTACGAGCAAATGATGCACAGAACTGCATCTCCAGAAATCCAATTGGCCTGAAGATTCCCAACATGCAACACACAGCTGTTTGTCTTTCCATCCTGTTACTGAAAAATGTCAATTGTTCCTTCTGTAACAATCCTGCAGGGTAACTGGTAGAGGTATATCAGTCTGTTTGTGTCTGTGGGTGTATCTGAAGGAGTCTATATGTGTGTGTGTGTGTGTGTGTTAGAATGAGTGTGAGCTGGAACTGTGTCCCTGTATGTGCGAGTGTCTGGCTGCGGTTATACACGTGTAGTTGAGTGTGTGTGTGTGGAAATATGCGTATGTGGCAAATGTGTGTTACTATACGGGCTATGGTGTGTGTATCCCTGGTGAGGATGCCCCATTCTCATCCCGACCACTGATCCTGGTGTCATTGGGGTCATTGGGGTTGCGGGAGTAACAGGGTGTGACCCCGGGGTGACGGGCAGCGAACCCGGGGTCAGAGAGGTCATGAGGGGAACGTCATCCGGTGAGCGCCGCAAAGTTAGGGTGTAATCAGGCGGGCAGGTGAGGCGCACGGTATCCAGTGTGCTATAGATGTCTTGGGTATCCAAACCATCCAGAGCATCGAGGGTGTCCAGAGTGTGGTGGTGGTGAATACTGTTCCTCTCATCTGCAGAGGCAACATCACACTCCAGCTGCTTCACCTAAAAAAATGAATGTTAGGAAAAAAGTCAAAGATAGAGAATAATCTCTGTTTTCTTCAAATGTCAGATGGCAGCAAAGGCTTAAATATAAGTTTATACAGCTTTCAATTAAGTTGTCAGAATGACGTAGAAGATTCAAAGACATACATTTCCTTTAAAAAGATAAACATGAAGTTAATTGAGCAGTTCGAGTGATTACGTTGAGAAATAAAGGTTTTAAAAGAACGGATTTTCAGAAGGCTGTTCAAGGCTGTTCTCAACAAAGCATGAAAAGAATAAGCAACATAATGTCATAATGTTTTTATATTATGTAAAGCCAGCATCTAGATGTATGTAATTTGTTAAAGGTTAAATTTCACAAATAAGAATTCATATTAAAAGAAAAGTTATATCCTCCATGAGCAAAGTAACTGCTAAACAGAGCAACACTGCACTGATGCAAATGCAAAACATCGGCATCTTAGTGTTATGACATCAAGAATGTCAAGGAAAAAAACAGCAATCATCAAGACTTGCTTTCAGTGAAGAACTTCTGCTTTTATTCCACCTCATTTTTATCAGTCACATAGTTTATCTGGCTTCTAACTCCCAAAAAGTTCAAACTAAATTACACCATTTGGAAACTAATCACTCCTGACTTGGCTGGTGTGATTTTAAGCTCTGCGGACCTAATGTGTTTTTCTCGCCAGAATCACGCCTTTGGTGTTTTTCCCCTTCACCTGGCTTCTTCTGTCAGATGAATGTTCTGCAGAATCACAAAGCCCAAAGCCCAGACAAGTGGGAATAATTTTCTCCAACAAAAGACATGCCAACTGAACTGGCTCAAGTCTTTCTTCCCTAGCTTATATATATATCACAATAAAGCACATTTGTATAATTGCCTGAATATGGGTTACATTGTTGTGCCCAAAACAAAAGGAGCTCAAATAGAGTTTCCCACTGGGACAAAATGGTGCTGCAACAACTTCTACTCATAAAACACCTTGATGAATAGTTGTGATCTCATCCTGCTGCTTACCACAGCAGGTAGTGTGAGATGTAAATTTCAAGTTTATTTTAAATAAATAACATTCTTTACTAAATATAAACTAACTCCTGAACAAGATGGACCTGGAACTTAGCAGAATATAGTGTGATATAATATAGAATGAATAATGATAAAAACATTTGATTTTTTTTTTCAGTCTAAATTTGAGAGCATACATTAGGAAGAGGACATCCAAAACATAAACAGGTAAATCGCCTTTGTTCATTTGCCAAAAAGCTGAATTAACCAGTTTTAAAAGGTGTCTAACATCCTGTACTTCATGTTGTGTCAGTTCAATAAAGGCCGACAGAACCCAAAAGACACTGAATTGAAAGCAATTCTGCACCCACGTGTGTGCACATGTGAGCTGTATGCAAATTGTTGTTCTGCTGATGACAGGCTGTGATTTTTAAGAGTACTTCACCGGCAGCTGTGACTCTGACAGGCAGGTTAGCATCCCGTATCGTCACACAAACCGCGCTGGCTTCATGCTCCACTTATGAATAGGTTATTTATTTCCATATAATTAGGCTCGCAATTGAGAGATTCACCACAGTGTCGGGCTGAAGTTCGACAAAGTTTCAGTTTGTATCCAGGCGCTCAAACGCACAAAAGAGTTAGACTCACCTGTAAAGACATGAGCCCCTCTCCCTGCAGGTGGGCGGCGACGTCTGCAGGCGTGATGTCTCGTCTCGGGGGAGGAAGCGGACGTGGCCTACGATGCTCCAGGCGCCTTTTGTCTTTCTTGTACAGCAGAGCGGCGAAGGCGAGGATGTTCAGGAACAGCAGCGACGCTCCCACTGCGATGGTCACCGAGAGTTCGGTGGAATAGTCCTCATTTGGGACGCGAACCCCGGTTTCCTCGCCATCCTGGCCTAAAGCAGGCTCCGGGGGCGGTGGAGTCCCTCCCTGTGAACCGGGGTGGCGGGTGCTGCTGGGAGGCCAACCTTTGGAGAGACGCTTGGTGTAGGAGTAAGGCGTGTCGTCCTGTGGAGAGGGGCTGTGGGTGAAGGAGGACACCGACTGAAGGAGCTCATTGACGTGATGCAAGTGTGGGACCAGCTGGAGCCAGAAGGAAATCTTGGTGGCGCGGTAGTGGTCTCTGATGCGAGGCTTTAGGCCGATGTGGAGGTAAAGCTGCTCCTTGGGGGTATATTTAGACCAGGCAACCTCCTCAAAGCGATTCGGTTTTGTGTGAATGAACTTGGTGTCTTGAGGAACTGGCTGGTTTGGATCACTGTTGAGAGAAACAAAAACACTTGAGTAATGTTTTATTTTCTTTGTGCTCGTGTAATTTGTTATCTTCTCAAGCATAATAAGAAAATAAAAATCAAATCACAAAGAGAATCAAAGAGGCATGACCGACAGTTAAACCCCAAATCATTAATTATCACACAGAAATTTGAATTTGTAGTAAACTATTGTTTTGTTTTTTCTCTGATGAGGACTAAAAATTAAAAGCAAGCTTCAGACCATCCTATACCTGTGCACAACATGTCTGGAAGATTTATTTCAGACAGGTTAACTGTGATAAGTGTTAATTAGTCATAATCTTTCGTAATATTGTTTATTTTCGATTACTGTGCCTGAAATAAACTCCAAAGTACTACATTCCTAACACAAATTGGACTTGCTCGGACAAGTTTCACCAAAAGAAAACAAGTCTAATTTTGTTTTCTCCAAGCGCAGAACTGGTGAAGCAGAACTTTATTGACAGTCCTGGGGAGTTTTTCTAATGGTTGGCTTACATTTTTTGGGCCTGCATTGTTGAAAGCAGCTCCTCATTCATCCTTTATATAGAATTAGATGGAACAACTTTATAAGTCACATTCAGCCAGCGTCCAGAGTTGTAAAGAGATGGATAGCAAAAACAGTATCAGTTGGCATGGGTTACAGAGGGAAGATGTGAAGCACACATCAATGGCTTGCCTGAGGCAGATAACAAACCAAACTTAGATTTAGGAATATTCCCTATTGTCTCCTAAAAAAAAAAAGGCTAAAAGAATTCATTCTAATGACAAATTTTGAATGGTTTTATTCAAGACTAGGAATTAAATGGAAGTTTTAGTTGATGAAAACTTTCAATGTTACATTTATAGAAATCACAGAAGTTTTACAGAGATTAAATAGTTCAACCTTCCTATTTTCATTTAATAAAGAATATAAATCATTTAATCAATAGAATGTCTCAAAATGCGCCATGCATACTTCAGCTGTTCACTAGAAGCATATCTCTGAGTTATTCATGTGAACTTCTCAAATGACAGAGGGCCCAAAAAGAGCTGCCAACAACTTCTTCACAGCAGGAAGTTCTTTTAGGTTGGCAAGTATGTTACCCAGGCATCTTCATAATCAATATAAAAGTGTCATGAAACAAACTGGCATGAATATATATTTGCAAAAAGGAAGAGCGGTTTGTTTTTCTGTGAAGCTTTTTTCAGTTTCTCTGCCACTGTCAGCTGCCACCCAACTCTGAACATCTCAATTAAAGATGGATGTGTGCAATGTCTGTGGAAAAAACATGTGGGACACATACAAAGTGGTATCTGCAGCTAAACAGCTAAATAATGCAAATAAAAACAGCTGCAAATTTTGAAAGACGTGTCATTTGCAAGCTCATTTGTCCGACAAGACCTGTGAACAGCACAAAGAGGCAGCCAGAGGGAGGATCTGCCGCCACATGAGTAGGGAATTCAGACTTCCACACGGAGGCTTACAAAATATACATCAGGGAGCATCACATCTCCCCAGTTAAATTGAGCTGTCGCAGAGTTCCATCATCATCTGAGGCTCTTTGGGTCGAGTGAAATCTCTTTCCGGAGAAAGTTCCCCTTTGATAATTGAAGTGTAGACTGAACTCTTCACAGCTCTCCTTGGTGAATTAGCTTCACAGCTTGCTGTGATGGCAATGACAATACAGGCTGGGCTAGAAACTGAAAACCTAATGCAATGTGACTGCTTTAATGCACCCACATTAAAGACATAGTTTTTTTCATGTTACAGTCAAAATATATGAGAGTACTGTCCTGATTTTTCAGCAGAGCTCTGTAGTGAGATCTAGGTCTAGACTGCAGATGTCAGGGGAAATCTACGGAGGTCTCAGTGGAGCGAGATTCATTTGGATTAATTACTTGTAGTAACAGGTCCATTCTTATTAATTACTTTTATATTTTGTCAAAAACCTACAAATTCTAATAAGCATGCACTGTCAGATCTATAGTTTTCATGTAAACTTTTCTATTTCTATATCTTTACCTTTATAAATTACTGGTAGCTCATTCAGTTTTAAATGTAGTGAATTGGATCTTCTTTAGCGAAAGGCAGTCAATTTTAATTTAACATAGTGTGCAAAATCTCTCTCATCCTGTATTAGTTGTAACCATGAAGTTCCGAGGAGAGGGAAAGGAGAGAGAAAAGGAAAGAAGATATACCAAACAGTGACCGGTGGATCAATTATTTAGCTTTTTGATTCAGCCCTTTTCAAAGACTTTTCAAGCTGTAGGGTACCTTTCTGAAACAAGGTCCAAAAATGAAAAGGCTTGTCAAGATTTAAACTTGACAGAAAATGTGTGTGTCCCTGTTCCAAATTTGGTCGGCAGTGCTGCTTTAATGATTGTATTTGCTGCACTGACTTCTTATCAGAGTTCAGGGACCAATTTGGAGAAAAAGGAGATAACTTGTTCTTTGTCTGTGTGTTATTTTTTGTTTTGTTTTGCACTCATTGCAATTTTTCCCCTTCGTTGCAGTAAAACTCTGCTTTTCTAATTGGTATCATCGCTTCCAATAGACACTGAATATTTCAGGAGAAGAAACATTGATTTTTGCTGTGTTGCTCATGTTAATGAGAATGTTCCACCTATGACAAACCTGTTGGAGGGTACATGGTGCAAAATTGTTCGGAATCTTTGATCATCCCGTCCGTGTAAGCACCCTGCACTGGTGCCTTTGCTCATTTTCACTATAAATTACTGCTAATTAAACATGTGGTAAGCAGATCAAGTTCTGCAAAGTAAAGAGGCAAAAAGCTGGGAACTGTCCACGATTACAACCACACTAGATTTCTCCCAAAAATAAAGCAGAACATTATGAAACAAGAGCTCTGTCCCATTCACCGATAATGCTTCTCTGGCTTTCATGCAGCTCCATGGCTTCTGTTCCACAGATGGGTAGGAATCAGAGACTGACACATATGACAATCTAATGGAACAGAAACTCTGTCTTAATTCATGTTGTTTTTTTATTTTTAGCTTATTTTTTGTTTTGGAGGATTTAATGTTTGTTTTGTTTTTTGTATTTTTGTGATGTACATAGTAAGGAAACAAACTTATCGTCAGTGGGACTTTCCAGCTCAGCGATATCTCACATCATTGAACATTTATTTTGCTTACCCAGTCTTGGCAAAGTTGGTCCAGTAAGTCATGACTACTGCGCTCAGCATCACGTCGTTCTTGGAAAAGTTACAGTTGAAGAGATCAGTGGGACCCACCATGGGCACACCAAACACGTAGGGCACCTATACGCACACACACAAACACACATTAAGATTCCTTACAGATTACATGAATTCTCTGAGCAGTGACTGAAATCACAACTGAACCCAGACAAAGTTTAGAAATTGTTTCATATAAAACTGTAACAAAACCAACAAACTCACTACTTTGCATTGAGTTTGAAAAATCATCTGTAATCTATATTGTAATCCATCTTTCTAAAGTTCAAATATGCACCAACACAATCAGTTTAAACCTAAACAACACAGGAATGACGACATTCCTGTCTTTAATACCATGGTATCAATTGAGAAAAAAATATTTCACTGTATTGTAATTTAAGTTGTCTAAGAGGAAGCAAGACAACTTGAAGAAAAGCCTAAAGAAAAACCATTTATAATTGGAGGCAAAATAGTTACCTCAGTAATCTTAAGTCACTCCATGAACAATTGGAAATATTCAGTTAACTCTTGGTTGTCACGATAAATTAGTGATTCACAAATCTGATTTATGGGACTTTACTATTATTTAAACATTAATTTATAGTTCACCAAATTAGATGGTTTCCATTTACATTATTCTCTGATAAGTGCTTTTGATCTACACTTCTTTAATTCTTCACAATCTGAAGTATGTTTTTAATAAAATTGTCCATCAGAGGAAAATACCTGTTTCCTCCACATACCAGAAGAAGCCTGATTTTATTTAGCTGAGACCTCTGGTAAAATATCTACATATGAAACATTCTCAGTTCATTGTTGCTGCACCCACCAACATGTGTATTCTGAGCTAGGTTTTTGTATGACTCAGTTCTAAGTTGCTTACTTCATTTCCACTTAATATCAAAATATAATGAGGTGGTTGATGAAGCTGAGCAGGTGTTTTTCCATGAAAGCGGCTAAGAGGTTTTGGTGAACATTTCTTAAAGTGCAGAATTCCAGCCATAGCTCCAGGCTCCCAGCTGCAGATGTAGGTAGTGCACTTCCACTTTTAATGTGGCATATGAAGCATGGCCCACAGTCCTTTTGTAGAGGAAGTTAGGACTGAGATACTTTTTCAAAATCAGCCCTTTTTTTGCCTACCTCAGCTGTATTTACCCCCAGAAGGCGCTATGAATGCTCTGCTATTTAGCAGCACCATAAGCAAAGCACACACCCTTTTAATAGCAGTTGTGTGTAGAATTAATAACCCAAACGAGGTAGATGTCTGAGAATAGGGTTTAATTTCCTAAGCATAAAATCTCATCCTTTCCACCTTTTGCCAGCCAGAATTATTGTCTCGTCGCAAAAAATGAAATGTCAATGTCATTTTTAACTACATCTCTGTAAATGTGGTTTTACATTTAGAACGAAACAGAGTAACTCAGTGTCAGAGTATCTAATTAAATAGTCACACAATGATGTTTGCAATTGCAACACAGTGACACACCATTGTCTGATAAGTGGGAGAGTCAACATTCAGTCTAATTCTGAGGACGACTTGCTTCAAATAACTTTACTCCCCTCCCCCACAGCTAAACAAACAAGATCTGCTCTACACATAAGCCTCATGTCTTGTTGAAGTACATCACACTGACAGACAAGTTGACTGGCAAGGAAAAATACTGATTTCGGCATCATGCTATCTTTGATGTGACTGTTTCATGTTTGCTTGTGAGACCAGTCGGGCTTTAAAACACTTCAGCTCACATCAGCTCACCTCATCACCATGAGCAGAATCAGCCCAGGGCGGCGTAGCATCGCTCTGGCAGTGGTGGTAAAACGAATAGAAGTAGGTGGGAGACCCATACTGGGCATGGAGGTCCGCTGTGGCGATTGCTGGTGCCACCCACTGGTGGTCTGTAAAAAGTGCTACCAGCGTCTTCCGGCGGGTTTCTGCATTGTCACGATCTGCCCAGTCCGTGTACATGAACCTTAAAAGAAAACGTGTCAAATTGAAGTGTTTACTATACACAAAAGCCTAATATATTTCTAAAAAATGCCATTTCAATTCAGCCTAGATTTGCATTAGTGCTGGAAGATCTGTGAAAGAGCCAACTTGGAAAATAGTATGCCCACCAGCACCTCTAAAGGTGCCCAACACGATAACCTGCTTGCGCAACATTTTTGCATTTATACTGCTTTCCTGTTCTTTTGGGAATTTCATCCCATGGATATTCAGTAGACACATGCCTTTCCATGAAATTCATGCAAGTAAATCATAATATCACTCTCATTTCATTAGTTTTTCGTATGTCACTAAGCACCACAATGCTTTGAGCTTTTCTCATCACTTGAGATCACTTTTCAGAGCTCAATGGACAGTAGAGTAGAGGGTGTTATCTCCAAGGCGTGTTGAGGAAAGACTTCAATTGATTGAGCCAAAAAAAAGCCTTATTACAACTTACAGTTGCATGACAAACATATGCATCACGATTTGTCACAAGTCGAAGAGACTTTACATCTCAGGAGAGCTGACAAACCATTTGACCATTCCTGCAAAGGTGCCCAATCAAGGCCAAGATTTAACAAAGCAAAATCTTTATCACATTTAGTCAATGACAGAGTCAATTTCATTAGAGAGGAGCAGAACAAATGCTTGGCTGGCATAAATCTATAGAATCATAGCAAGAGACTCAAATTCCACAAATGCAGTGATGAAACAATGAAGCAAACATGATTGCGCAGTCTGGGTTGTAGCAATCCAAAATGATAATGCTCAGCCTGATGTGGCTGCGATCTGATGGGAATAATGAACAATACCAAGCTTTTATTAGACTGCCAAAAGTCCAGGCCAAAGACACCATTGAAAACCCTTTTTGGATTTGCTGAGCAGGGGTTTTCACCAGCATCCAAAACCAATAGAAGAAAGCATCAGCTGTGAAAAGCACTGGATGAGGAATAGAGGCCATTCGTCTTACAAGCAACCAGATCTGACAGCGTTGCCACTCCACGCGGGTAGATAATATGTTCATCATAGGAGCTGGAAGAGGACTACTGACCGTGTCATTGTCTGAGTTTTGATTTGATTTTTTAAGCCTTGTTTGTTTTTACTCAGAATATAATTGGGTTAATTGCGCATGTAAACGATCTGCAGGGCTACTAAGTCCACATCATACATGACATTCAAAATGGTTAGTTTGTAGCAAAGACATCAAAATTAACCAAATTTTGCCAAATAAAGCAGATTTAAACTCTTAGTGGTATTAAAAAGACTGAAGCTATAACATGCTTCAGAGGAAGTGTGGCTCCAGTAGTGTATAGTATAAGAAAAGATATTCTGGGGAATGCTTGGTTTTAAAATATAGACCATAAACATATATGACAGACATTATTTAATAAATAGGTAAGAACACTGATGATTGAGTAACCTAGAATGTAAAATCATTCTTTTGAGCAGACATGCTCACTCACCTTATGCTTTCTCTCAGTGTATCTCGGCCTTCTGGGTATCCATACAAACTATCCACAAAGTCTGACACCGCGAAGTCAAAGTCCTCAGCGGTGACACCATCCTCTGAGTCCACGATGCCCTCCACAAACTTCACGCCCTCACCCTGGTTAACCCCCAGCATCACATCATAGTTCAGAAACTCTCCCTGCTCCATCAGAATCTGGGGGTCATCGGGAATGACATCACCATCAATCACGGGGGCAAAAGCCGTATGATACTTGGCCGGTGTGATGTTTTGCTCCACAAGTTCGCGATAACTCCGGCCCTGGAGGCACGCGACTAGTTGAGTGCTGTCGTCAATGCCGCAGCCCACCCTTTCCCCGAGCTGCCGCGCGTACTTGCTGGGCTGATAGTTGACGGCCCAGCTCGCTAACGCACTGCCACTCTGGATTATGGCTCTGTGGAATAGGTCTGATACACAAAAAAAAACAAAATAAATTCAAAGATAAGGCTGCATGAGCATATATTCTGCCACATGCATTTATGCTTGAATTCAGACTGCATGGTTAACCATTTGAGTGTTTCACCATACATTTTTGCACATTAAAATGACATCAAAATCAAAAATCAACCAAACAATGACATTTGAAATAACACAGCTCTTTGTAATTTAAGTCACGGAATTGCTGTTCCACTGCTACGATTCACTGTTTTTGTTCAGGCTTTGAGCTCAGTAATTGAATACAGCACCTACTAAATAAAAAATGACATCGACCAAAATGTCAAGGCTGTCACAGAGCCCTCTTGAAATCAACTGTTGTCCGTGTCAGCCAATTCTATTTTCACATTTTAAAGTGTAACTACCTCTCCGGCCTCACATATGCATTACAATATAAAGAATTTTATAGATTGAGAGACAGTGAGATTCTTTTACCCTCAGAGTAGTGGGACAGGGTGAGAAGACTCACACAGGATGCTCCAGCACCGGATCCAAACACTGTGACCCTGTTTGGGTCTCCACCAAAAGCAGCAATGTTCTCTTTGACCCAGCGCAGAGCCTGGATCTGATCCAGCAATCCATAGTTTCCTTTTGCTGCCTGATCACCTGTACTAAGAAATCCTACGGGAAGGCAGTGAGAGAGCACAATTTTGTGAACGTACTGCAAAACTAGGTGCGTAGGAAGCATGATTTCACATCAACAATGAGAAGCTGGTTACTGCATAAACAGAGATCTGTGTCTTATAATAATGGAATGTTCAAGCACGCCAGAGCTAACAAAGGGTGCACTGTTAAAGTCAGTCATGCAGGAGTTATGTTTAACATACATTTTAAAAGGGAAATTCATGGATAAAAGATGTGGTTCTGTCACAGTCCCTCTGCTTGGATCAAGTCAAGAAGGTACATTCATATTCATGTAAAATAGTATCAGCTTACACAAGCATAAAACATACACTTTCATGCCTTTATATTCACAGCTAACTCACATTCCCCATTTACTTTTGTTATTAAATAAAAACAAGGGACCCTAATGGCTCACTCCACCACAGTATATCTCATTACTGCAGAAGCTCTTTTCTGTGAACCTCAAGCACTTCAGAGCATAATGAGTGAGAAAGGCAAGGCAAAGAATGGTACATTTCATCACTTATGTGCATTTTGTCAGAGTTTTTCTTGAAGCAAAAAGGACAATGTGTGTTTATATTTACCCTCAGTTGTTCAAGTATGGATTCGTGTTTACTTTATTATGTGCTTTTATGCTGAATTTGGATAAATCTCTCCCTATTTACATTCATATTTTGACAGAAGCATGCTCCACTTCCAGATGATTACAGCGGGTATAGCAAAGAATTATTAGAAATCTCTTAGTGAAAATTGGCTCACCTCATGCATCCGACTCATGATGAAAATGAGGAGGAGGAGGCGGAGGATGATGGTGATGCAGCTACTCAAGACGATGAGGATGGTGAGGATTGTGTTTGAGGTGGTGTTTACACAGAGGACACAAAGAAGCATGCAGGAATGTTTTTATTCAACTCATAATGATTTTTACAGGTGCAGCAATGTTTTTTTCTTAGCCAAGTATTTGGTTTCAACCACATGCAGAATAAACTGGCATGTAGCGTAATAAGCATATGAGAAAAGCCTAAAAGAAATCAATGATTTTCAATCCATTTTAAAAAGACTATCCCCGCCCAGGGCAACTCAATAGCTAAGCTGTAGGGCTCAAATACCCTCAAGCAGTGAGTCTCAGGACCAATTCCCAACCTGCTGGACAATGACCATATCTCTCTTCCCACATCCTGTCTCAACTGCCCTTGTCTAATAAAAAAAGTATTATCTTTTTAATTAAAACAGACCCGAGATATGACCTCCTCTTTTAAAGCAAAGCCTCTTGAACAATCTTCAGATACCATACATACAGCATAATTAGAAAATAAGAATACGGATGCCGCGGAACTCTTTCAACCTTAATATTCTTCAGACAAATCTACTTCACTTATCAATTCTATCATTTAAATAATGGATCAGCCATTGACATGTTTTTTGTATATTTTTAAACAAAATGAATTAGCTTTTGTACAAAAAGTTCAATACTTTGGTTGACAGAAACACTGCTGCACAGGATAAGTCACAGAATCAACCATGGAAGATGCTGTGTCGACACATTTTTCTGACCAACCACCAAACAGAAATGTTCCTACATAAATGCATACATAATGGTCGATGCTGCGTGAGAGTGTGGGTGTGATTCGCTCAGCCAGTTGAATAAAATGTGTCTTGCTTTTTTAATTGCAGTTAGGGCATGCAAACCGTGCACAGATAAACGTAATAATCCTGCCGTCAGTGTGGTAAATTCAATGAGGCTTTATGAAACCGAGTGTTTTCAGTCTCACAACACTCTGCTCATGTTTTGTCTTTTTAATAGTTACAGCCGCAAAGTCTAAATGCCTAGATTATAAGATATTCTACTTATTCAGCCCCTGGACTTTGCATTGCCATCTAAAATTAGAAATAAAAACCACAGGGATTCAGATTTTTGCTGTTCAGAGAGCAATGAGTCAGGGAGTTAAAAAGGATCAGATTTGAGTGTAATGCTAGTGAAAAAAAATGCTTCAGGGGTTTTATCTCCACTAGGGACATCCCATACTGAAGGTCTGCCCTTAACAAAACAGAAAAAAACTGAACTTAAAAACACAAGAATTCACTAATGGTTTGCACATTGAATGGCCTATGGTAGGTTCCAATTCCAGGTGGTGAATAAACTTTTAGATTTGATCAAGGGAATAAATTTGTTCTGTTTCTTGATGAAAATGCAAAGATGAGAAAACAAGTCTGAATGAATATTACATCAACCCACATGGATCAACCTTTTCAAACAAAGCACATTGTAATCAATGAACAGCAACCTAAAGGAAAAAGACCATTTAGATAAACAATGTTGAATAGAGTCAGTAAAATATAGTTTCTGTAGTTTCTTTATCATTCTTCCCATCTTATTGTAAAAACTAACACTAAAAATATGTGATAGTTATTTCATTTGACCACTTTCATACATGTGAGAGGAAAATATCAGTTAAGCTAAATAGTGTGTTAAGTGGTGATTACATAATGATTGTGTAATGCAGGTTTAACTACATATAGGCGACAAGAAGGGAAAAAACATTTCCTGCTCTTGAGAACTTTAGGTTGGTGAGCAGGTGGTTTGGTGACTTTGTTCAGAGCATTTTGTTTCACTTGTTTGCTTCCTTTTGCACACTTAGAGTTAAGGGCCATTGGAAGAAAATCAAACTAATCACCAATTTACCATGGAGAAACATCTCTAGCCGGAGGTGAAAGCTCCCCTCCGGGAGAAAAAATATTATTAAGACCCGAGCACAAGGGTTCACTGAATAATTTAATGATGGGGAAAGATATGCGTATCATGTGACACTAGACCTGAACGAACCAGCAAATGATGGGAGATGGGATGATGGGAGCGTCAAAGAGTGCTCTCCACCATCATCATCAAAATCACCTAATGAGGGAATACATTTTGGGAGAGCACTGAAAAATCCATCATACGCAGAAACACAACCACACAGCCATAGCACCAATAACCATAACCTGCCCACGTGTGACACAGATAATGCATTACATATAAATAATTTAGTCTTTACCTAATACTCCGAGACGGTAGTTGAGGGTTATGACGATCACGTTGCCATAGCTTGCTAGCACGCTGCCATCCATCATGTTACCAGTACCTTCTGTATACGAGCCCCCATGGACATAGACCATCACCGGACGCTGCCCCCCCTCCTCATGGATGTCTGTAAAGGAAAGAGACGGTTAGATAGATAGATAGATAGATAGATAGATAGATAGATAGATAGATAGATAAATGCAGCAACAAATGGCCATTGTGTTCAAATCATCAATGTGACAGCTGAGCACCTGATGCCAGTAGGAGTGCTTATTGCATTATTTGCATGGCTGTGTCCGTGGCCGTTCTCATGCATGTGCTTGAACCAATATGTATGCATGAGTGTGTCTGTGTCCTTCCCACTTTCCTCCACAAGTAAATTCGTAAACCCCATAGCGACTGACGCAGGTGTCTGCATATTAAGTGTTGGTTCAACCAGCGGCATGCAGACAGGGCAGAGGAAGCAGGGCGCATTTTTAAAAACCTTTATTTATTCATTCTACAAGGCTAAGTCCATGCCCTTACAGAACACATCCACGTTTTAATCATTTGTTCCAGCCAAAGGCATCATCATGTTAGTTGGTGCTTCGACCTTAGGGCACAGTGAACTTCAACTTGTAATCCCAATCCCAGCCCTGCATGCATATTTCATACCCCACGGCCCCTGGAAAGTCAATGCACATCACCAGGTTCACTCACCTTCTTCAGTGGGCACATAGATGTTGAGGTAGAGACAATCCTCACTTTGGTGAGTGAGGTAAGTCGCCGCTATGTCCAGGTTTGCAGTGAGCCAGGATGGCATCATGTCCCCCAGAATACTCCTCTCATCCAGCGACTGGGGGCACACGGGAGCAAACTGCGTCACGTTACGGATTCCCGGCCACGGAAGAGGCGGCTCGGGAGCCTGGAAGCGCCGATCTCCTGTCGGAGGCCTGGCGTACGGTACTCCCAGGTACTGGATGACAGGTCCAAGAAGATCTGAGGGTAGGGGAGTCAAGATGCCCCGGATGCGACCCTGTGCCGTGGAAATGACAGGCACAGTCTGCTGGGCCACCGAGGGGGTCGGTTGGAGGGATACAGCGAGGCAGAGGAGAATGAGAAGTGATGGATATCCGAGGGAGGGGGAGAGGGATGGCGGGGCGCAAATTCTGCTGGTCCTTAATTCAGTCATGATGGTGTGTTTAGCTGGGAGATGATAGATGGAAGTGGACGGGGGCAGGTACTGAAGGCGGGTTGAGGGTCACAGCCGACCTCTCAGAGGTATCCAACACTCACGCACAGCTGCTGCTCAGCTTGGCCCATAACACACACGACACTTAGTCCTGTCCCTTGGAAGCAACCTTTTTTCCCTTGTGTGTGTGCGTCTGTCTGTGAGCGTGTGTGAGTCAGTGATTCCGTGCCTCTGAGAGTGCGGTGACTCAATCAGTGAGTCTCTTGAAAACACGACTGTCAGTGTATGAATGTGTAGAAGTGTTTAACATCCTGGACTGGCAATTTGAGCCCGCGTGCATGTTTGTTTGTCTATGTGTGTCGTGCATCCATGCTTGCGAATGTGTGTGCGCGTGCGTGCGTGTGTGTGAGTCTCTTGTTATGTAAACAGTAGCATCACTGTTCCTCTGTCACTTTCTCCTTCCGGTCAGCCTCATAACAAGCCCAAATTGCCAGCTGGAAACAAGAAGGGGGGTTGAGGGGGTGGGGGTATGGGAGGGGGAAGGGGGGTATGGGAGGAAAAGAGAAATTTAATTAGTCTTCACTGGAATGATCACAATATAAAAAAACAGAAAATGTCACACGCACACTAGAGACGCACACATGTCATGAGAAGGATGACAGTGGCTGTGCTACCTTGCTGGCTGCTCACTTTAAAAATAGATACGAGAGTGATAGATGGGGCAAACGAGATGTTGTCCGCTCAGCTTAACTTGGTGTCAGGCTGTCAGGGCTGCTGTGTCACATCCTCACTACACACTGTTTCACAGATCACGGGCCCTTAGTTGGGGGAGGGATGTGGGAAGTTGAGGGATGGGGGGGTGGGGGGGTGGGGGGGTGTCACGTCACACGCTTAATTAAACCATGATACACCATGGGGTTCCTGACCTGCGTGTGGCATAAGGTAGGGGATGTGACAAACGCAGAGACTGGGCTCGGTATTTTTCTGTGGCTGCCGCGCACCTTCACCCTGTCACACACATGGTTTTGATCACTCTGCGTACTCACACACGCCTTCTCCCCCTTATTATTACACACAAACAAACGCACGCACACAACACACAGCTGCTCCCCGGCCGACTGTCTCCGACGTGCCCGAGGGCAGAATATTAACACACACTTCTAAACGCACTCCAAAAAAAAAAATCACTTATTTCTGTATGATCTCACACACACATATGCGATCGCATGCAAATTTCAGCGACAGGCTTCAGTGGAAGAACATCCTTATCGCTCCTTCCTTGTTGTACTGGTGCTGTCCAAGGTGCTAGTTAACATTCCAGTGGTGATCACACACACGCTGATGAATAACGCTCCATTTATCAAGGCAAACCCGCCGCCTGCCACCCTCCCCTTGTGTATTTTTCATATGGAACAGATAAAAAAGCAGCGCAGCCTTGTCATTAAATTGTCAAGAGAAAGGAGGAGGGGGGAAAAAGAAGGGAAACAAGTGATGAATAAATAGGCTGGCTCACCAGGGAGAATTCCTTGTCTAAATCTCTATCGGCGTTGAAGCTGACTATGGCAAAAAAAAAAAAAAACACACACACACACACACAAGCTCACGTGCACACACACACATTCTCTCACTCTCTCACACCGACACACACGAGAATGTATTAACCTCAACCTGCATTCCCACCGCAGTAAGAAATAAATAAATAAATAAATGAAATTAAAAAAATGTCAAAAAAGGAAAGACAGCAAACCCCCCCCCCCAAAAAAAATCTCCAGTGGTCAGACTGCGGGACGAACCGTACCCAGGCAGGGTGAGCGGCGTGTAATCCCGCGGAGCATCTTCTCCTCCCCGTCCTCTGCAACGCTCGCCTCGTGCTCTGCCTGCTGCGGCTGATCCGACGTGCCCGGGCTGGGGATGTGTGAGATATTCCTCTCCCGCAGCTCCTGCTTCAGCCGCTGCTGCTGCTGGTGGCACGTCTCCTGGGTGAAAATAGTCCGAAAAAAGGAAAAGAAAGAAGAAAAACCGACCCCCGAGCCTTTTCAGCTGCAGCGACGGAAGGGAATAAAGGGGAGAGAGCTTTTTTTAAAATATATATATATATATATATATATATCCTAGTGGAATTGCAATGGTTCTCCGTGATATGCTGGGCCCAGGACGTTTAAATGATCAATCTCCCTCTCCTTCCTTTCTTTCTCCTCCCCCATCTCCCTCCCTCTGCCCTTTCTTTCTCTCTCTTTTCTCCACCTAGATGCGATTGGACAGTGTGGCAGGCAGCAGCTACTGATCCAATGATACGCACCTAGCTCGCGAGGAGGCGCAGACTGGGAAGAAGGGGGGAAATGGAGGAGAGGACACACACTCTCACACACACACACACACACACTGGAGGGGGCACACCATGAAAGTCCATTAGTGCATGAACATGCGTATCTTCTGACACACTTGTAGAGCGTGGTTAAAAAGATTAAGACATAGGAAAAGTTTAAACTGTGGCCCAATACCTGAATACATCTGCATACTCTTAAACAAATACACAAATAGCATTGGAGTACACAGTGACCTCTTCAGGGCCAGAACAGGAGAGTCTGTCCCCATTCTATTCAGCTATGCCTGCAAGCAGCTTTTTCCCTTAGGCACAGTGTCAGTGGTGTGTGTGTGTGTGTGCGCGTGTGTGTGTGTGAGTATGGTAATGCAGTTGGTCTGCAGTCGCTACTAACTGTGTTTGGGAACACTCCTCACGTCAGCACACCCTGCTGCAGCAGCATTCAGGACTTTCTATTCCTCTCTCCAACAATCTCCCATCCAGCCATCCATCTCTGAGTCTGTGTTGCCACACTTGTCTGCTTATTTCTTCTATAAAACTTCTGTTCTTCCTTTGTGCCATTTTACAGAAGGAATCCAGAGAGTCCGAAAGAAAAAAATTCTGGTTGTGCCGGTTAGTTTACACTGATGGGTTTTGAGTTGTAATTCAGAAAGATGACAATGACTTATGGTCGGAGTGCAGCAAAGCCAGGGGACCCCTAACAACAAAACCGTACTTACTCTGTTTAGTCAAGGATCCTAAAAACAGAAAAGAAAAGAAAAATTGTCCTCAGGCTCATATAAACTTAAAAGGATAAATTGTAGCTTGAGGTCAGGCCTATATAAATGAGAGAATTTGCTGATAAAAATCAAGGAAAACGTTTAAAACTGCCAGAGATTTTTTAATTCAGGAGATAAAAAACCTTCACTATTTTTCACTGCATTTGTGTCCTAGTGTTCTCACAAATCTAACATTTAGCGTGGTGTGGGATTGCGCGTAGTGAACCTATATGATATTTTGTTGTTTAAACTTATGTGTCATTTACTCATCCTTTGTTTCTGTGTTATGAAATGTGTAATATGAGTACTATTTGAAATAGCCAAAGTTGAAAGCTAACATAAGGCATGATAAAAAGAAGACCATTCTCCTCCCAAGAAACAATGCCATATGTTGTTTGTGCAAGCTGTTGCTACACAACTTTTTGTTGTGTTGCACAGTATGGCAACCCCTGGGGATTGTGGGAAAGAAAATGTCATTTTCAACATTCAGATCAGTTGATATTATATAGTTTATATTATAAAATACAGGGTCTAATTGAACCTTAATTTATTTTTTAACGAAGATGTTTCACTGACAGTAAACCGGCTTAAACACAAATAAACGAGTGAGAGCGTCCGACCGGACGGTGCAGCATTAGGGTTTGATTTGACAAGGATGGGGCACCAGAGAAGAGAGACATCATTGCAAAGGCATTTGCCCTTTTTTTAGATATAATTCAAACCAAAAGTGTGCCATGCCAGAGATGCCCATCTCAAAAGGTCCAGATAGCAGGATGTCATGATTCGCCGTGCCAACATCTGCAAAGTCTAAAATAATCAGAAGTGAATAATGTGCAGCGGCTCTAGCTGCTTTTGGAGCCTCTCTTCCAGTCTCATTGGTCTAAAACCACGACCGATTTGGATCAAGTATGACTTTGTTATGCCAGAGGAAATTTGATTTCTGTTGAAAAATGCCCCTTTGATAACCTCACATAGGATAGAATAGAATAATGCTTAATTAGATTCATAGGAAATTATATGTCACTCTGATGACTTGAATTCAAATAACTGTTTAAACAAATAAAATGGATACATTTGACAATGGACAAATACGCATTACAAAGAGTCATTGTGTAACTCTATTACTGTGGATATATATGAACCCTGTTCGTAGTCCTAAAGGTGACAAAGCAGAAAAAGACTGAAGACACCCCAATGCTTCATCATTATGTCATTCAGAAGATATGTTGCATTGTCTACTATTTATAACAAGTGAAAATGGTAGTTTCCACCTCGGACTAATCGCAAATATTGCTCCGAACAATATTAAAGAACAGAAGCTTCCTCAAAAAGTACCCTTCCTTTCTGTTGATAGCTCCAGTGCTGCATTTTAGCTCATTCTAATTTCCACCTAATCTACAGGTATCCATCCATCCATTATCGTTACCACTTATTCCGTAATGGGGTCGCGGGGGGAACTGGAGCCTATCCCAGTGGTCAATGGGTTAGACACCCTGGACACTCTGTCTGTCCATCGCAGGGCCACTACAGGTATCTGAAAGGATTTATTTTAAATTCACTGCAATCCACTATTGCATTAAAAAACAAGATTATCACTTTATGTTGTCAACCTTTCAGCGTTTGGCTTCTTGTTCATCACTGGCACCCCAAGCGACTTTCCTCCAAACTGTTTTGGGGATGATAGGATGCCAAACACTAGATGTTTGTGGCTTGCAAAGAGCTTCGGTGCTGCTGATCATCCTCACACAACCCTAGTAACACAAGATAGGAATAGAAGCTGACAAACTGATCAATAGTTCTTATTTTGACCAGTGGTCAGAGGAGGGCTTTGGGCAGAGGTGCTATCTGAGCCTCTCTGAATGCAGCGCAAGGTCAGACGAACATTTGTCAACTTATCTGAATGCTGACACTGTGATTTCTTCATATTTGCAACTGAGGGTGTTAACCCTGTGCTTTCCTCTGCACAGAAACAGGTTTTACCTACGTTAGAAAATATTCTGAATGATATTTAAGACAGACAGCTCAGAGACTGTACTTTATTAGTTGTTACTTTTCCAATACAAAGCATCTTTTGATCAAAGCCTTGAGCAAATGACTACATGGTGGTTTGTAAATGCATTTTCTTTGTCAAGCATTTCTCAGTAGACACAAAGAAATAGTCCTGTCCTGTTCATCCAACACTTGTGTTATCTGGAGGGCATAGACCAACAACATATTTTATCACTTAATTCCGGGAACTTGTTTTGTGTTGATGGGTTTATGCTCCACAGCCCTGCTATAATAGTCCTGCATAACATTCTCAGTTACATAAGAAGTTTATCTCAGATTTGGTTTATCTCAGATTTTTTCCCCCCACTTTTCCTGTTAGTGCCTTACAACTCAGGCCACTGAATGTGTGCTTTCAACCACAGCCCGTGCGTAATGATATCTTCTTTCCACAGTATTGATTCTGTAATGAAGCCTGTTTCAGAACAGTTTTATTCAGTGGGCAGCCATTGATTCTGAGAAAATACTCCTTAGCAATTTCTTAATAACTGGATCATGCCAAATCTGTTCTTGCAGGTTACTGAATAACTGCCCGATCTGTTTTCGTATCATATTGTGTAAAGTGTACCTGCATTTACGCAAACCACAGAGCATCAGACCAGTGCAATTGTTTCACTGAATGTAAACCTCCAATTAGCTGTTTTATTGACTCATGTCTTTTCCCTAATTTACACTGGCAATTTTTCTTAATAAACTAGATGCAAGAAATACAATAGCATTGGGGGAAAATGACCCTTTTCCAGCAATTTAAGCGCTGGAGGAAAACATTATTTTTTCATATTTCCTTCTGTAGTATAAAAGCTCTCTCTATTCAATGTCAATCTTAAGGGACACATGTTGTTTTTTCATTTATTTCATTCAGGAGTCATAGAAATATCAAGAACGAAAGCCCATCTTTAACAACTTGTGAGTTCATAAAAGTATTGGCTCTATGGCTTAACAAGCTTGGTAAATCTAATCCCTTTGAGTGAAAATTGATAGATCAGTTTATTAACTTTTGCTAGATTATTGTGTCTGAGATCCCGATGATGTAGTGTTTCTGAGGCTTAGACACAGTGAGGTCATCCGCTTTTATTTTAGTTACAAGCTACCTGCTGGTCTTAGTACCGGCTTTACAAATCAATAACCAATCCAAAATATCTGGCATTGCAGCAGACTAGAATTAGCTGTTGCTGATTTTAAAAGTAACCTCTGTGTTTATGTTACAGATGGCAAGAAAAACTAATACAGTCAGGGTTATAATTTCACGGAACAGTTAATAATTTCTAAAAGATGAGGACATAACTATGTTCAGTCAAACTTGTTTGATCAAACTTGTTCTAACAAATAGCAACCAATCTTTTAAAGACATTTATGTGTAGCTTTAAAATTCTCGTGACCTCAGGCTGAACCTAAATCAGAATGCTGATTATGGAAAAACATTGTTTTAATACTGTTTCATATAAAGACCATACACTCTCTCTTTTTTTTCCTTATTTCTTGCCTGAATTGTGAAGCCAAACTGTAAATGAGCCAAAAGTAATCTGGCACTAGAAAAATGGAGGCCAGCTCTTTTCTGGCATCCTACAGTCTGATTTACACTCCAGTTCAATATTACTGCAAGATCATTCAAACATGATTTAAAAAGCACTGTGCACAGTATTCAGTGGATATGAAAGTATGTAATGCACTTAACAATTAACCTTTAATTCTTTATTTTGGTGCCATAACCTCCAGGTTATAGACGAAGAACAAGGCTATTTTCACATATTAAATTTATTATCATTTCACTCCATTATCATGGAAAGTCATCAGTTTGTATTCTTAAGAATACAACATTAAGTTCCTTATTACTTTTAGAAATCAACTTTAATTTCTTAAAATCATGTGGTTTAGTTCGATAAATGCATTTCATTGAACACAGCTATTATCATCTGCAGACATGAATCCAAGTTTTAACCAACATTGCTCTGCTTCAGTCAGTAGCTGCA